GAAATGGAGAAACCCGGACAGGAGACAGACTCAAGAGGATTCTGTAACTGACTGGGAGGAAAGGAGCTGAATAAGGGAAAGAGGGAGCCAAGGGTTATATCCAGCTATTCAGCTGAAGTAACTGAGTGAACGGAGTGCCACTCACTAGGTCAGAGAACACAGCCTGTTTCAGGGGAGGATGAGGAATTCTAACCTGGACATTTTACATTTAAGTTACCTATGGGATATCAAAGTGGGTATGTCCAATAGGTAATTTATAAATCTGAAGATCAAGAAAGATCTGGATTGGATATTTGGAAATTTGGCATGAGATCACCCAAGGAAAAGTGTATGGAGCAAGGAGAGAACAGGATCTTGGAAAGAACTCTAAGAAAGTCCAACCTCAGAGAGACAAGGAATACCCCTGCAGAAGAGTCTGGTCTGTGAAGGAACAGGCAGAGTAGGAAGAAAACCAGGAGAAAACAGTGTCATAGAAGCCTAGGGACATGAGTATCATACAAAGAAGGTAGTGTCAGGATCTAATGCTGCTGAGACCAAACTAGGTAAGGACAAAGAAAGAGCCACTGGATTTAACAAGAATCATTGGTGACTTCCACAAGAAGAATTCTGTTGAAGTTGTGGGTGGACAAGGCCAAACTGCATCAGGTTGAGGAGCATGTGAAAGGTGAAGAGGAGGAAACAATGAGTATAAACAACACATGTTCACGACGCGATGTCTGTGAAGGAAAAGAGAAACAGCTAGGTTGAAGGACATATTTTGGATGATCTCTTTGTTTTAAACATGTTAGAGACTTAAAAAAATATTTTTAATGATTTTATTTTCAAGTAATTTCTACACCCAACGTGGGGCTCGAACTCACAACCCAATGTGACCAAGAGTCACATGCTCTTCCGACTGAGCCAGCCAGGTGCCCCCAGAGACTGAAAAATGTTTAAATGTTAATGGGAAGGAGCCCGTAGCGAGAAAGATAAGGACAGGACATAACCACTAAATAGGGTTTCTGAGAAAGTAACAGAAGTGGAATCTGAAGCAGAGGTACAAGATAAGCTGTAGAAAGGGGGAGAGTCTTCTGTGAAAACACAAGAGAAGGAAAGGATAGATATGGATAGAAGTGAGTTTCAAGGTTGGGGCACCAGAAGTTGGAAGCTATTTCTTTCTCTCTTTCTCTACTGCTCCCTCTACATTTTTCACTTCCACCAGCAATTTATGAGGGTTCCAACCTCCCCATATCCTCACCAACACTTATTATTGTCTTTTTTATCATTGCCATCCTAGTGTGTATGAAGTAGTATCTCACTGTGGGTTTGATTTGCATTTGGGGGCCATTCTCTTTTGAGGTCACCTTTTTGTCCCTGTGAGGAAAAAGGACTGACCAGAGGAACTTATACAGGTGCTAAGAGAGAGCCCAGGGGAATTTGGAAACCTTAAGTCTGTAGAAGTACCCAACTGATCTGTGAGTTTTTCCTCTCCAGTGAAGTGGTTTGTTTCCCTTAAACTGATCTAACCGGACTTGGAATGGGAGGTTGCTCGTTTAAACATAATGAGACAAGTGCTCCTGAACAATAGATCATCTGCTTGCTGAAAGTCCTGTAATATACACATTTGAAATGACAGTTTGCATAAGATACACTTTTTTTTTTAAAGATTTTATTTATTATTGAGAGAGACAGAGACAGTGAGAGCAGGAACACAAGCAGGGGGAGTGGGAGAGGGAGAAGCAGGCTTCCCGCTGAGCAGGGAGCCCGATGTGGGACCCGATCCCAGGACCCTGGGATCATGACCTGAGCCGAAGGCAGACGCTTAACGACTGAGCCACCCAGGCGCCCAAGATTCACTCTTCTTGACCCATGAGAACAAAGCACCTCTCAAACGTGTTCACTGCAGCACATCTTACATCTGTACTTTATTTACAACTACAATCATGGTACTAAATTCATCAAATGGCAAACTGCAAGAAAACACCACATATCCATTCACCTCAATAATGGGTAATTCCTTTAAAACATGTTCACTGATTTTTGATGTAACCAGTTACCTCGTAAGAGTACAAGATACTGTCACAGCATTCAGTTAAATTAATTCCGTAAGTACATCCTTATGTAATATGAAGATTTAATAATTTAGAGATTTATCACTAAGGCACACTACTGCATATCCTGACCTCAGTTTTGTGCTCAGGGATCACATCTTGGGACTGACATATATGTGAACCAGATTTACACCAAGGATTATATGTTAGAAGGTGCTATGTTGTTGTTTCAATCATCTTTTGCTAAGTAACATACCATCCCAAAACTCAGTGGCTTAAAACAAGAGCTGTTTGTTATTTCTTTCAATTCTGTGAGGTACTCATGAGGTCATGGGCACTGGGAGCTTAAGTAAGGCTGACACAGGCCTCACATTGTGTGGCCACTGCAGGTGGTCTCTCCTCCTCCTAGATTCAAACGGAGCAGATAGAGACTCCATCTCTTAATGGGAGGTAGTGCAGTCAACATAGGGATGGGAAGAATTGCTGGCAGTAATCTCAGAAACACTTCACCACAGCTGTCAACTATATTACTAGATGCTTCCACTATACTAGTTGAGCTCATGACTGAAGCACTAGAACCCGACAGACTTGGTCCATCTCCAAAACTAAAACTTTGCCTTAAGCATTGAAAAGAACATCTCAGCAAACATACTCTTTTGCCCCTGTGGAATGCTAATCTCAGGAAAGCCATGGAATCTTCTTTTCTGGGGTTGTGGGAAGTATAGATATTATTTTTAGGGAATAGCCTGAGTAGAGTCTTTCCCAACTGAAATTCATTACCTCCTAAAGTCCTTTCACACTTTACAATTTCTTAGGTATGCATGAGTATGATCTCATTTATTAAAATCTAATACTAAAAAAAATAGAGGTATCCCCAGCTATTTCAACTCTTGCTATTCAAACTCCATCTAAACTCAAAATTATATAGATCTGGCTAAGTTCCTCAATACTCAAACCTTTGCTATTGACTCTCCTAGATCCAGGTATGAACTAGATTTGTGTATCACAGCATCTCTTATTACCTGAAATCTCACTATCTGAACTCAGCAACCCAGTAAATTTGTATAGTTAAAAGGATGTATGCCCCAAAATATTAACTGCTGTTATCTTCAGATGGTATAATTACAGGTGATATACATTCTTTTTTATGCTTCTGTAGTTTCTAAATTTATTTCCTTGCAAAATTTTAAAAAAAAGTATATTGTGGACTTAATGTACTCGGAAATTTTAAAAAATTAAGTCCATGTTGTGGCTCGAGTACATAATTGATTTAGATAATCACTTGATTAATCACTTAACTGACCTCCTCTATGAAGTCTATTCTGGTTAAACTCAAACATTCATCATATGCCTCCTGTGCATTCAACTTGTACACAATATGTAACATTTTTAGATTTTTTTTTTAAACCACAGAATATCTTAAAAATGTGTCCTAATGCCCTGGCTGGACTCTAGAATCCTTGAGCGTCCCCACCTTGTTTACGATGCATGAATTACTGTTTAATGTAGTACACACAGAAAAAATAGAATAATAATGGTCTTTGATTTCCTTTCAGTTTCATCTTCCCCACAGTGACTTTCAAATAAAGGAGGACACTGTCTCAGACTTCCCAGCTTGAGCTACTGATTATTAAGATGAAGCCAAAGCTCTTGCTAGAACATGGACGCACTCTTCGTTTTTAAAAACTTTAAAGAATTTTTTAAAGCTACAAACTAGATAGGTTTTTAAGGCTATTTGCTTTCTGAAGTTCCCAAAATTTGATCATTTGGATCACACCCATAAAAATCACTGTAGAAGAAATCTCTTTAATGATTAATATCCTTCCTCTTCTTCTAGAGGGAAGACAAAATAGGACCTGTCCAGAAGCACTTAATAGACTGGTATTCACACAATGGATTGTGTGATACCCATCTCACAGATTAACTGCTATATCAATAGAATGGAAATATACAGTTACCTACTCAACCCTGAAAGCACTTCAGAGAGGTGAAATTCACTCAGTGCTCACTTCAAATGGATATTTTCTAAAGTTTAAAGCACACTATAAACTGCCCTCGGGGTTAGCTCATTTATCCATTCCTTTCAGCATGATATACCGTGATGTTTTGATGTTACTATTCCACAATGCACAACAGTCTCAGAAACTCAGTTTTTGCCCCCAAGAACTATAATCCCCCCCAAAACAGGCCAAAGTCAAATAAGACTTTGAATCTGTTTTTTTAAGCAATGTTATAATACTACTTTATAAAACTGTAATCCCCAGCTGCAAAGATGACATCGGAATGTCTCGCATGCAAACAAATACACAGAAAGCCACTTACGAGAGAACAGAGCATGCCTCGATGGTCATCTCCTATAAAATAGAGTAGGTAGTATACCCGAGGGAGGACGAGAGAAATATTTCACTCTGTTCGCCGCACTCCTGGATAAAGGTCCCTAAGTGAATGCCCCTTTGCGGAAGCCGTGTTGTGGAGGAAAGGGAAACAGTGGAGAATATGGTTTGTGACACCACTACCCTCCGGAGGTGAAGGAGGAGATGCTAAGATCTTGGGAAGGGCCCACTGAGGATGGGGAGGAGAGTCGGAGGGGAGGTCTCTTCTCCGCAGAACAGCGCCGAGAGCGGTAACAGGCTTCAGCTGGGAGCAAAGCTGCGTCCAAACAGCTCAAAAAAGAGAGGGAGCCGGGCAAACTTTCGCTAGCCTCCCCTCACCCTTTCTCTCCCCCTCGGAAAAAACGCCAGCAGAGGTGCTAATGGTGCCGTGCTGGCGGCGCAGACATCCGCCGGGACGAAGCGCCCCGCGGACCCGCGGCCGGGGGCCAGGGGGCCGGGGGACCGAGGCCCGCAGCCGGAGGGAGGGAGCGGGCAGGACAACGGGGCGCGCCAGCCCGGCCCGCGGGGAAGGGGAGCAAGGAGAAGGGCAGGGGTGGAAGCGGCCCCCGCGAGCTCGGGCCCGCGCCCCACCGGCTACCTGGGACGCCAAGCCGCTGTCTCACGCCGTCCGGCCGGGTCCAGCCGCGGGGATCTCGGAAGCGCGGCGGGCCGGAGACCCCCTGGGAGCGGCGGCCCCGACGCCCGGCGAAGGGGAGGAGCGGGGGGCGGGCGCCAGGGGCCGGGCCGCCGGGTCACGTGGCCGGGCCGCCTCACGTGACGCCGACGCCGCGCGCGCCGGGCGGCCTCCGGGGTTAGCCATCCACTTGGGGGTGTCCTGGAGTGGGCGTCTTTGGGCTCTAGGGCGGGGGTCTCCGAGGAGAGTCTCGGAGTTCGGTGACCGCCGAGACTCGCAGGCTTTTGTCTCAGGGAGACAGGGACGCTCGAGGGACTGGCTCCTCCTGCCCTCCCCGATGGCTTGTTTAGCCGTGGGGACGGCCGGCTAGCCTCCCGTGGGCACCTAGGACGGAAAAGCGACTGCACACTCCTCTCCCTCCCACGTGGCGCGCCCTGCTCCCTCTAGCCTACCCAGGTAGTGCTGCCGGGGACAAAGGGTTTCGGAGGAGAGACTCGTTTGACTCCAGAGATGTCTCTCCCCGGCCCCCGCCCCCCATTTCCTAGCGGTCCGAGAGCAGGGGCGCTAGGCCGGAGGGTAGGGAAGGTGGCAACTGGATCGTGATCCGAAGGAAGGAGGGAGTGAGGCTTAGGGCCCAGGTGATGAAAGGAAGGCAGACGTACCTCGGAAGCATGCCCCCAGGATTGTAGGGGACCTAAGACAGCAAACCCTTTTCTTCTTATGAATGAGTAAACTGAGGCCGGGGTTGCTTTGTGCTGCTCTAGCTTGTCATCTGTTGAGACCACAATCATCTTTATAAAGTATTGTACAGCCTTTGAAAACTCCAGTTCGCTCCACAGGCTACAGGATAAAGTCCAAACTTCTTGGCATAACTTTCTAAGCAATCTTTTTCAGACTTACCTTTCCGGCTTGAACTCCCATGAATAAACAGAAAAACATTTTCTAAGTATCTCCAAACAACTCAGTCAATCTACTGGAAGAAGGCTGCTTTTCCACATCTTCCAGCTTTTCCTCAGCAGTACTCTAGGCTCTGGCTACAGAGAATTCCTGTTTTCCTTCACTACTCAACTTTCTTTGGATTACTAACTTTTCCCCTAGGTTGCTTTGCTTGTCTTTGCATTCATTCATTCTTTCATGACTCTCTAAAATGCCCTGGAATCACTACCCTCTCCCTCTTAAAGAAAACCAGAGTCAGACAGTACTTAAGGCATTAAAACAGATTTTATTCAAAAACTATTGCCATAGTGCAATCAAGCCCAGTTGTATACTGAGGTCTCTTTTCTCCTATTGCCAATAGTTGATGAATAAAATCTGTTTACTGCTTTAACTATTGTGGAGTTCTGCTTATCTTTAACAACACCCCAAGGTACTCATCAGTCTCCTACTCATCTTTCAAAATCCAGATCAAATACCACCTACTCCTGCCTTCTCTGCATCCTCCTCCCTGATTCAAGAGCTTCAGCATTTGAAATTCCATTCAGTGTCTGCAGTAACTTCTTCCTAATTTCCTGGCAACTACATATTTTGATACATAAGTCTCACACTGCCTAGAAATGTACATTTCCCGTAAGAGGTAAATTGTCTATTGCTATTTTCTTCCTTAGATTATGAAGTCTTTGAAACAGGACTTCTGGGCTTAATACAGTGCCTTCAATATCCACTGAATGAAGGTCCATATCCACTGAATGAAAGTCAATGTCACCCCCATATCCACTGATTGAAGGTCAATGTGGTAGAACCTCCATATCCACTGAATGAGTGGCACCACCAAGGTTGTAGCAGTTAGTGAATTTACTAAAAATTCTTGAGCCAGGCGCCCAGGTGGCTTAGTTGGTTAAGCGACTGCCTTCGGCTCAGGTCATAATCCTGGAGTCCCGGGATCGAGTCCCGCATCGGGCTCCCTGCTCAGCGGGGAGTCTGCTTCTCCCTCTGACCCTCTTCCCTCTCGTGCTCTCTCTCTCTCAGATAGATAGATAAAATCTTTAAAAAAAAAAAAAAAAAAAAAAAAAAACCCACACACACAAAAACTGATGTCAGTTTCTTTACGCTACAATCTGATCAAAAGAGCTTCTGTAAAACATACTTGTTTGAGAAAAATATTGAGGTCTGGGGTTTGAGTCATCAAATATTTCCTGAGCACTCACTGCTTATCATGTGCCAGATGCTATACTTGGCATATCTTTGAGGATAAAAGGTTGGATAAGACATGGTTGCTGATCTCAAGGAATATGTAGTTTGTTTCATTGTTCCGGTGCAGTGTGAAAGGTATGATACAGGGCGCCAGATGAACACAAAGGAAGGACCACTATTAGAAGGCCAGGAAAAAAACTTCCTGGGAAAATGAATTTGGAGAACACATAGTAGTTAGATGGAAGGGAGAGAAAGACCTTCCAGAAGAGAGAACAGTATGTTCAAAGGTAGGAAGGCATGAAACAGTATTATTTATTTAGGAAAAGTGAGTAATGCTATATAGCTGGACTTGGTGACCTCAGTTACCTCTGGGACAAAGGAAACCTAATTGGTTAACATTGCTGTGCTTGAAAGACACATATTTATTAGTATTAGTGTTATTTATTGGATTGAGTAACTTTCTCTCAGACAAATCATAGGCTCTTAACCTAAAATTGGACTGTAGAATAGTGCTAGGTGATTTTTTTAACTTTTTTTTCCCCAGCTTCAAAAGCTCTCTGTAATTGTTACCTAAAAGTAGCAAAATTACTTGTTCCAAACAAGATTATTTTAGAGCACTCTAAACTACTGGGCAAAATAACTCAATTTATAGGTAGTACTTTAAGGAAGAAACTTGGTTCTACTTCCATCGGGGTGGGAGAATCCCCCTTAATGTTCATGCTAAGACGTGACTATGCTGGCAAAAAGTATCATCAAGAACCTAATGGGGGTGCCTGGGTGGCTCAGTCAGTTGAGCATCCGACTCTTGGCTCAGGTCATGATCTCAGGATCATGGAATTGAGCCCTGTGTCAGGCTCCATGCTCTGTGGGGAGTCTGCTTGAGAGTCTCTGTCCTTCTCCCTGCTCATGTGCGCTCTCTCTCTCTCAGTAAATAAATAAAATCTTTAAAAAAAAAAAAAGCCATAAAACCAGCAACTCTTGTAATGGCTAAATAGGAAACATTTATTTCACTATATAAGATTGCTTACCTGTTTATGTAATACACAGTTTTAACACACAGACATCTGTTCTGACAGCTGCAAAAACAATATAATATTTTTTGAGAATTGAGGATGGCATAAGTCTTGGGATTTTACAAATGTAATAAAATATAGAATCTACCTAGAAAGAGATTCCACCTTGATTTTCTTTTCTTTTCTTTTAAAGATTTATTTATTTATTTGAGAGAGAGGGAGAGAGAGCCAGGGGGTGGGGGTGGGGAAGGAAGGGCAGACAGAGGGAGAGAGACAGAGAATCCAAGCAGACTTTCCACTGAGCACGGAGCCCGACAAAGGGCTCCATCTCACAACCCCAAGATCATGACCTGAGCCGAAATCAAGAGTCAGACACTCAACAAAGCGCCCCTTGATTTTCAATTAGCTTAACCAAATGGGTAAACATGATCAGTCACAATTAGTTTTACAACCTCAAACTACTTTGGGGATAATTTCTGCTCTTATAGTTGGAATAAATAAACATAAAACAAAGAGGGGGGAAGATTGAGAGAAGTGGTAATGGAGAATTGGAAAAGAATTTTTATTCTAGTTCCTTTTTTCCGTCACCCCAAGAACACATAAGTAAGCAAACAAGTGTCTTAGCGCTGGCTAAAGTAGTAAAGTACTCTGCTGGTTGATTTCTTCCCCTGCACTGAGGGCAGATGCTATGCTGAACAGGTGACATAAAGAGATAAACCTACTCTGTTCCCTAGATCAGGCATGAGACCCTCTGAAGCACAGCACTTATCGTGTCTATGGTGCTCCTACATAAGACCACCTTCTGCATAAAAGGGACCCAATACACTCTGTTTAGAGTGGCTTCCTTGTCCTTGGTCAGATGAAAGAGCTTGTTAAATATGGAAGCCCTGCATTGACCACATGAACTGACAATGCCATATTTACTTTATTCATCAGCAGTGGTGCTAGGGCCACCTTCATTTAGCAATGGCAGTACCACCAGGAGCAGCATGGTTCATTAGGAAGCCACCAGCTTCTGGTAGGAGTTATGAGGTCTTTTGTCTTCCAGGGAGCTAGAGTTTTGACTGCAATTGACTGTGAAGCAGGACTGATCCTCTGGGTATTAGTATGTATCTTGATGACTTCTTGGAATGATGCTAGGGTGCTGATAGGGGGTAGTAAGAATATTCTCAGATGAGGCTTGCTTCATTGGTTTGGAATATTGCAGGTGACGTCACCTGGGACAAACAAAATGACACTATGAGTAAACAGACAAATCCAGAATGGGGTACAAGAACCCTCCTAGCCTTGGTCTCTTCAAAAAGTTAAGTCTATTGGGGAAAAGGGGGAGGGGGACTGTCCCAGTTTAAAAGATACTAAAGAAAAATGATATTCAAGTGTAATACACGAACCTTGGGTGGATCATGGTTGAAAAATTTTTTGAAGCTGTAAAAGATATTTTGTGGAGAATCATAGAGATTTAATATGTGCCGATATTAGATATTAGGTGACTTTTAAATTGTTCTGTTATTTATTCAGATATGATCATAGTAATATTGAGAATGTCCTATTGTTAGGAGATGCATACCTGAGTATTTAAGGACAGAGTGTCATGAGGTCTGCAAATGGTTCAGCAAACAAACAAACAAAAAAACCAAACTAATACTATACACATACTTATCCATGAAAAGAGAGAGCAAATATGACAAAGTGTTAAATCTGGAAATGTTTTTTGTACTTTCCTTTAAATTTTGAAGTTCTCATTGTAAAATGTTGGAAGATGGAGTGAGATGTTGACCTTTATACTCCAAACTAAGAGAGCAGGACATTTCAGTAACTTATTTATTCAAAAAGATCTTTTGAATGCCTACTGTGTGCTAAGCACTGTATTAAGCTTGGATATATACTGGTGAAAAAAT